ATGAGATTCTTGACAGGGATTTTATAATAATACGAGTGATCAGATGCTGCTGATAGACGCAACTCTGCTTCTTTAAGAAAAACTGCTGACTCACTGTGATAGATTACTGTTACTGATCAAAGACACATTAGAGTTATTGATTGTTCTGATGATGTCATCACATCATGTTCACCATGATGATGTCACACATCAATTAATGTTCCTGAGCAGGTAGAAGACAGAGTACTTGAGCAGGTAGAGGACAGCGTACCTGTGCAGGTAGAGTACCGAGTACCTGAGCAGGTAGAGGACAGAGTACCTGAGCAGGTAGAGGACAGCGTACCTGAGCAGGTAGAAGACAGAGTACTTGAGCAGGTAGAGGACAGCGTACCTGTGCAGGTAGAGTACCGAGTACCTGAGCAGGTAGAGGACAGAGTACCTGAGCAGGTAGAGGACAGCGTACCTGAGCAGGTAGAGGACAGAGTACCTGAGCAGGTAGAGTACAGTGTACCTGAGCAGGTAGAGGACAGAGTACCTGAGCAGGTAGAGGACAGCGTACCTGAGCAGGTAGAGTACAGAGTACCTGAGCAGGTAGAGGACAGAGTACCTGAGCAGGTAGAGGACAGAGTACCTGAGCAGGTAGAGGACAGAGTACCTGAGCAGGTAGAGGACAGAGTACCTGAGCAGGTAGAGGACAGAGTACCTGAGCAGGTAGAGGACAGAGTACCTGAGCAGGTAGAGGACAGAGTACCTGAGCAGGTAGAGGACAGAGTACCTGAGCAGGTAGAGGACAGAGTACCTGAGCAGGTAGAGGACAGAGTACCTGAGCAGGTAGAGGACAGAGTACCTGAGCAGGTAGAGGACAGAGTACCTGAGCAGGTAGAGGACAGAGTACCTGAGCAGGTAGAGGACAGAGTACCTGAGCAGGTAGAGGACAGAGTACCTGAGCAGGTAGAGGACAGAGTACCTGAGCAGGTAGAGGACAGAGTACCTGAGCAGGTAGAGGACAGAGTACCTGAGCAGGTAGAGGACAGAGTACCTGAGCAGGTAGAGGACAGAGTACCTGAGCAGGTAGAGGACAGAGTACCTGAGCAGGTAGAGGACAGAGTACCTGAGCAGGTAGAGGACAGAGTACCTGAGCAGGTAGAGGACAGAGTACCTGAGCAGGTAGAGGACAGAGTACCTGAGCAGGTAGAGGACAGAGTACCTGAGCAGGTAGAGGACAGAGTACCTGAGCAGGTAGAGGACAGAGTACCTGAGCAGGTAGAGGACAGAGTACCTGAGCAGGTAGAGGACAGAGTACCTGAGCAGGTAGAGGACAGAGTACCTGAGCAGGTAGAGGACAGAGTACCTGAGCAGGTAGAGGACAGAGTACCTGAGCAGGTAGAGGACAGAGTACCTGAGCAGGTAGAGGACAGAGTACCTGAGCAGGTAGAGGACAGAGTACCTGAGCAGGTAGAGGACAGAGTACCTGAGCAGGTAGAGGACAGAGTACCTGAGCAGGTAGAGGACAGAGTACCTGAGCAGGTAGAGGACAGAGTACCTGAGCAGGTAGAGGACAGAGTACCTGAGCAGGTAGAGGACAGAGTACCTGAGCAGGTAGAGGACAGAGTACCTGAGCAGGTAGAGGACAGAGTACCTGAGCAGGTAGAGGACAGAGTACCTGAGCAGGTAGAGGACAGAGTACCTGAGCAGGTAGAGGACAGAGTACCTGAGCAGGTAGAGGACAGAGTACCTGAGCAGGTAGAGGACAGAGTACCTGAGCAGTTACTCATTATGAAGATGATTAACTGTTTTCAGGTTTAAATATTAAAAAAAAGAGTTATTTGATCTGACTGGACTCTGGTCTCTGACCTTCATCAGTTTGTTTTATTTGGCTGATAAATAAAAAGCCATAAAATCCTTCATCAGGAAAATTAATAACTTCACAGGTTAATAAAAACATTTCCTCCTCATGTCGATAAAATCACCCTGTCACCAGGTGACAGCATGAACATGACGACAGAGCAGTACAGTTATTAGAGTATCACAGTGTATGTTGTCTCCACAGAGCGTCCCTGCTGAACTCTCATCTGTCTCTGAGGGAATCTCCTCTATTCTTAGTCATGCTGTCTAAATATTTACCCAGCAGCCTTTGTTCCTGCTGCACTGACCCGAGGAGCTGCTGTAAACCGTCTGCTGCTGACTGATCTGTGATCTGCTGTTACTGCACGTCTGCACTCGGTCAACCAGGGTGGCCTCCAGTGCTGTCACAGACTCACCTGAGAAAGCTCACCTGCTGCCCCACAGACCTGACATCCACAGTACTACCACTCATCCAGGTCCTACCTCCAGAGTACCATCACTAACTGCAGCACCATCTGCAGAACTCCTCCATCTTTACTGTCTCTGTGTCTCAGGAGCTACATTTGATGGACAGAAGAAGAGCTGGAGGACTTCCTGTTTCTCTCACAGTCAAAATTTAATTAAACATTAATAAATGTTCTCAGAGATGTGATGATGATGATGATGATGATGGGTGTTTCCTGTGAACAGCAGCTGTCTAATCAGTAACTTCATCAATCAGCAGGACCATAACGACCCACTGACAGTCACAGTCCACACCTTCATCATCACCATCATCACCATCATCATCATCACCATCATCATTATGGGGTCAGATCAGTCTCACAATGAATGAACTCACACAGGGTTTTTCACTAATGCACACGCTCTGGTTCACAATTATTATTTTGAGGCACACTTGTAATATCAATTCACAGATCATGTGAATCGCTGAATGTGCATTTACAAACTGCTTCTCATTTGTGAACCTCTCTACATTTGTGAGAGAAATCTGTATGGTGAATTTTGAGACTCCCCTGACGTTGCAGGTCAACGAACATCACCATTACCATCTCCTTACATAGGCTGTATTCATAGTTTATGTTCATTCAAACATGTCACTTGGCGAAGCAGAACACTTCAACTCATTAGAATTCAATAACATTGCATGATTTACAAAGAGGTGATAATAAGATAAATGTGTTACTTAAAGGTTGAGATTGATCCATGTCTCTTCCACCATTTCAGTCTAGCGCGTCTTGTCTGAACACTGCAAACAGAAGCTCAGTAGCTCTGTGATTGGTTTAAAAGTGTGGAGAAATTGAAAGGAGCCATACGATTGGCTGAAAGCAAACACACCTGATTAACTGATGAATCTGTCAATCAGAATCATAAATTTGATTGACAGATTTATCAGCCAATGGTGACATTCGTTGACCTGCAACGTCAGGGGAGTCTCAAAATTCACCACACAGATTTCTCTCACAAATGTAGAGAGGTTCACAAATGAGAAGCAGTTTGTAAATGCACGTTCAGCGATTCACATGATCTGTGAATTTATATTATATTAATTTATATTTATATTAAGTGTGCCTCAAAATAATATTTGCAAAGCAGAGCATGTGCATTTGTGAAAAACCCTGCATGAGTTCATTCATTATGAGACTGATCTGACCCCATACACCATCATTACCATCACCATCATCGTCATCTGTGACGGTGTTCTGACTGAGATTAATAAACATGTTTGTTTACAGTCAGAAAACAAAGACAAAAAAAAACAGTATTAATATTAAATTATTTCAGTAAACAGAGACGTTAGATAAAAAGGTGACACCATGTGTAAACACACCGACTAAGTTAATGAAAAAGTAAATAATATATAATAAATAAATAACAAAAAAAAAAACTACCACACTAACTTGCAGGGCCGTTTCAACACACAACAGTTCTTCAGACACTTAGTCTGTGAGGTGTCCTGGTTCTGACTCGTGTTTCTGGTCCCTTTCTGCAGATCCACAGGTCTCACATGAGACAGGCAAAAGTTTAATGAGGTTCATTGAGAATCCAAAAACAGGAAAACAAAACAACAGGCCAACTCCTCCCAAAATAACACCTCATACAGTCCACTGCTGACTCACGTCCTCACTCTATATATTCTCACCGTAATCTCGTTATTAAACTTATGATGATCCAAATCAACACAAACTTCATGTCATCTTTACACAGGAAGCTGTCAACAGTCTCTGTCACGGGCACTAAACCACCTGACAGCAGCACACCTGGTGTAAATGACTGGTGCCTGTATTCAAAAGTGAATCTAAAGATAACTTCAGTACAGTCCACGACCACACACTGTTCACATTATACAGAAACTTAAATATCATCAGAACACACGTGTTCTTACTAAATATTAATATGTGGTTTTTACAGAACTAAATGAATAAATAAAAACAAAATAAACAGGCTGCACCTGTACAGGTCAATCAATCAATCAATGAATCAATCAATTTTATTTATAAAGCCCAATATCACAAATCACAATTTGCCTCACAGGGCTTTACAACATACGACATCCCTCTGTCCTTTTGACCCTCACAATCCTCTCCAGGCGCCTGACCGGACAGAGCTCTTTAACACTACAAGTCACATTCGCACACTCACACACTCACACACACATGCACACACATGCACACACTCACACACACTCACTGGTGATCGAGGCTGCTGTACAAGGTGCCACCTGCTCCTCAGTAACCATTCACACACACTCACTCACACGCTAATGATCAGACAAGAGGAGCAGTTTGGGATTCAGTATCTGCCAAAGGACACTTCAACATGCACACTGGAGGAGCCGAGGATCGAACCCGCTGTACCTCTGAGCCACAGTGGCTCCACACACAACACTTGAACTAACACATTAACTAACCAACCGGCCCCTGAGGTCAGAGACCCCGAGGCCCCTGACAGACAGATGCTGACCCTCAGTGTGTTTGTGTGTGTGTGTGTGTGTGTGTGTGTGTGTGTGTGTGTGTGTGTGTGTGTGTGTGTGTAGAGAAGCAGCTGCTGCTCATTACAGACTGATTACAGCTCATCATCACAGTCAGAGAGATCGTTACACCCTGAAGCTTCACAGCTCATCATCATCGTCATCATCATCATCACTGCAGCAGAGAGGAAGAGGACGACTGTACCTTTCTCTTGGAGCGCTCAGACTTCTTGGACATGTTCTTCATCTTTTTATGGAGGTGAAACAGAACCTGAAACACACAGTGATCAGATCTGATCATAACTGACTGTAACAGGTCACAGAGTCAGTGACTGAGAATATCTGATGATGACATAATATCTGATGATGACATAATATCTGATGATGACATAATATCTGATGATGACATAATATCTGATGATATCGGCACTGATCAGTTCTGTATAAAATCTATAATAAAATATCACTGAGCTCTTTCAGTGAGTAGACACGTTTTGTTTCTCTGTGACTCAGTTTAATCTGAACTTTAACATCTCAGTGGAAGTTTTATTTTGAAACTTGGGTGCCAACACTTCTGAGTGTGGGCGCGCGTGCCGCGGGTTTTTACGCACGGTGTTTATGATCGTGTGGCTCTGTGTGCGCCCTTTGGTCCCTGCGCTGTGACACGGATCAGTGTTTTACAGCAGGTGGCAGGCAGACAGACTCTGTCCCGGGACATGAGGCCTGTGTGAACGGACCTTGGTGTAGCAGCAGCTGATGAGCAGCAGCGGCAGCAGGTATCCGATCAGCAGGATGGTCACCCTGTAGGTGTGTCTGGAGGCTCCGGACCACTCCTCCCAGCAGAAGGTGCTGTTCGGGGCGCTGGGGTGACTGGTGAGGACCTGGTGCTGGGCCACCGGCACGGAGCACACCAGAGACAGGGTCCAGATGACGCACACCCCGGCCAGCGCGTTCCTGCGGCTCCTGACGCACGATGCGCTCTTGGAGCGCACCACGGCGATGTATCGGTCCACGGACATGGCCACGAGCGTGAAGATGCTCACGAGCATGCTGACAGTGGAGAAGTAGTGTCCGAAGGTGCAGAGGAAGGCTCCGAACACCCACTGAGGCAGGGAGTAGATGGTGGCCTGGAAGGGGACGCAGAAGAGGAGGAAGCTGAGGTCCGCCACGCTCAGGTTCAGGATGAAGATGTTGGTGGGGCTGCCGGGGCGCCCCCCCCCCCTTCCTCCTCCCCCACCGCGGCTGTACTTCACCTTCCCAACCACCACCATCACCAGAGAGTTCCCCACCACCCCCACCACGAAGATCAAGCCGAACACCACCGGCACGATCACCGACTCCGGTCCGGACCCGCCGCCCGCCGCCGGAACAGACCCGTTAGAGTCCGGGCGCTGAGCCCAGCCGGAGGACGCGTTTCCCGGCTGCAGCATGTCGGAGCTCCGCTCCGGAGGTGAGGTTAGAGCAGAAAGTGGAGGAGCTGAAGGAGACACAGCGGGTCCATGATCCAGAGTCCGGACTCCACAGAGAGCTGGAGACACACGGCACGCGCACACCAACACCGTGACCTGTTTCCTGTCAGAGGATTTCAAAGTAAAACCACTTAATAAACTCTCAGGATTGAAAGGGTTAAAAAACTTCTGCGTTCATCAAAGGATTAAAATCTATGTTGTTCCTAAATTTAAACTTTAACAACAGAAACAACTGAAAGATTATAAAAACTGATTAATAATCAATCAATCAATTTTATTTATTTATAAAGCCCAATATTTGCCTCACAGGGCTTTACAGCATACGACATCCCTCTGTCCTTAGGACCCTCACAGCTGATCAGGAAAACAATGGTAGAAAGCTGAGGAAGAGCAACTGAGGAGGGATAACTCTTGTTTTCAAAAATAAGACATCATGTTATGATCAGGTCACAGTCTGAAGATATTTTAATCTGAAACAGTCATCAGCCTCTGATCAGAACAGCAGGATGGGGCTTTATTTATTTACTTATTCATGCTTTTAATCTGAAAGACAACATTCATGTTAGATATAGAATGTGAGGAGCTGCTGATCTGAGGTCAGCTCTGCCTCTGGTCCCTCCTTTATTTACCACACTGAGGTTAAACTTGGGTCCAATCCTAAACCACTCCCTACCCACTACCACTTCACTACCAACCCTGCGTTCCAATACCCATACTACCATACTATTTAGTACGCCAGAAAAAGAATTAGTGTGTCCCAGTACATAGTATGTCAGATGCAGTATGCCAAAAGTACCAGGATGTTCTTCTACATCTGGTCATATTTTTCAGTATGCATGTCAGCATGCTTCTTTGGCCATTCTGACCCACAATCCTTTGCGCAGCGGAAGTTACGTTGCACTGACTGAGCTGCGTGTACAACCAACGCCCACACTTCCTTTCATACATGGTTTATTTAATTTGAGATACTAAGACACTACATATTAGGACTGCAATGATCTGATTATATACTGTCACATATCATACAGTTTTGCAAGAACACGGTTACAACATTCAACTTTATTGTGATTATAGTATAATCAATGTTAGGGTTCAACTATGACTACAATATAGAAGATTCTACCAGTACAGGCAGTGGTGTAAGTGTGGTATAAATAATGAATGAATATGACTAAATATGAATACACTATGGGCCAGGTATGAGCAGTATAGACTAGTAAATATATAAATAGTAAAAGTCAAACACATATTAAGTAATGTAGTAAGAATGTGCAGGTATGTTACACTACAAATAAAAGTAATGTGAATGTAAGGCTGCTTCACGTGCAGACAGAATATAGTGCCAGCAGCTGCACAGCTGTAAATATATTTAACAACACACATCTGCCAGCAACAGAGAGCTGTGTGAAGGGGTTAATGTGCCTACTGGTGACTAGTTCAATAGACAGGTCACTAATAATAGGCTTGGGACTGTTTATTAGAAACAACAACATACATGACGACATAACAGCAACAGAGCTCTCCGGCACCTCCGACGGTATGCACGACTCTGGCGAGCTCGACGAGAGGAGATTGGCTGCATCTCCGAAGTACAACAAAACAAAATATTCAAATGTGGCGCTACGGACGGCGGCGGAGGTGAGCAAGAGGGTCGGAGTTCAGGGTGGATGTGATGGCGGATGTAGTGTGTCCCAATAGTATGCATACTGCATGCATACTGCATACTACACTACATACTTTTTAAGGGCAGCTGCAGTACATACTAAAAGTATATAGTAGAAGTATGCGATTTGGAACGCAGGGCGAGTGTCACTCCAAATCAAGTTACACTCGCAGCTGCGGAGGCCACTCCTGATTGAGGGGAAGTGTATGAAAGAGAAGCCAAACCATGGGACGCCCTCGCCATTCTACCGGAAGAAGGAAGCAGATGTAACCATGGATACAGACAGATGCTTTGTGAAAGCAAAATAGAGCAACGGGCTATTAAAAAAAATTTAAATATTAATTAAAATGAGTTAAATTTAAAAAAAAAACTTTAATAAGTCAGATAAGAGATACAGTGCAGTGTAATCAAAGTAATTAACTTGTTCATATTTTATAGACACAGTTTACACATTCACAGATGAACTTTATTAATTAATCTGGGCAATCTCACCTCCATCCCTGCTTTGCAGCATTCCTTTTTTTAGTAAAGAGACTTATTTTTAATCCTTAGATCTATTAACTGCTTTGTTTTTTCTTCTGTCCCTGTGAACACATAATTATATATTTTTTAAAAATCATGAGAATTGGATGAGGAATTTTTTAGACAGTTTTAAATAGTTTATTTAAGCATATGGACTTGTAGGTTTTCATCTTTTGACACCAAACATTCTGTGAGTTTGTTTGAGACTGTAAAGTCAGTGTGAGGAAAACAAATGTGTGTGTTTGATCTAAAATATTTTACAAAGTAGAAAGACGGAACTTTTACATTTGTACGTTGTTTCCTCCATTGTGATGTTGCGCTTCCTGCTGGGCTCATCAGAAGCCTGCACTGATGCACACTAGCGATCTAAGGGCTGAGCAGTCCACTCACACTCAACGATAATTGGTTTGGGACGGACCTTAATATGGCGGAGCTCCGCGTGACCACACAAACGGAGGGGGAGTGAATAGGGCGAGGGGATAGGGGCCGGTTTGGGATTGGGCCTTGGTATCAGTTAAACTTCCTGCTCTCCGTCAGCAGGTCCGTCTCCTCCCGAAATAGATATATAAACATTATTTCACACTGTTGGTGCAACAGATACACGTCACATTGATCAGGAGGAAATCTGGATTCAGAGGAATGGAGCTGCTCATTTCAGTGACGGGGGAACACATTACAGTAATAGATTACTTTTTAGCAGTAACAAAGTAATATAACAGATTACCAACAGGATTGCAGGTGATATTATTAGATTTACAGTGTCATGTAACGCGCTAACATCTGAAATGAACTGATTATCATTTTCATGTTTCATTCATCCACCGCACCACTGCAGCCGGTGAGCCACCAGAGAAAACATCACCTGCAGGTTGATGTGTGTCGTCATGTCATCACAGATGGTATTATAGACAGTCAGTGTCAGTGATCGGCACATCTGGGTGATGTCATACTGTGTGTTATCATGTTCAGTGTGTCATAACGTCTCCACTATATCCCGTCCTGCTTCTGCGTCCTGAGGCTGCCTGACAGCAGCAGGGATCAGGAGCTGAGCTCTGGTTTGTTTGTTCCTCATCCTGGTGATCGGCACATCTGGGTGATGTCAGTATGTTGGATGTGTTGGCTTAGACGTGCTGATGTATTGCGGTAAGCGAGTTGTGTCATTTCCGGTGTTTCTGTGACAGCGTCTCTGTGCTGCTCTGGTGAATTCTACTAGCCTGCTTTCTCACTTCAGTTGCTTTAACGTCTACTCCAAGTCTTAACCCACACTGGTTCTGTTTAAGCACTTATAGCTCTCCTCCTTTCTACGACTTTCTTGCTAATCTCTTAGCTGTTGTTTGCACTTTACTAGCCTTGGTAGCTACATTAGCTTTACAGTTAGTGATGGCTTCTCCTTCTGCTCTTTCTTGCTCGGTGTGCCAAATGTTCAGTTATGCCTCTGCCTCCTTTAGCGGCAGTGGTAATTGTAACAAGTGTAGCTTATTTGCTGTGTTGGAGGCAAGGCTTAGTGAATTAGAAGAGCGGCTCCGCACCATGGAAAATCACTCGGTAGCAGCGACACACCCGCTGAACTCTGGTTATTGGCAGCTCTATTCTGAGGAACGTGAAGTTAGTAAATTTTAAGAGAAAACGCACACCAAATACTCTTGAGGTGCTGATCACTGGAGGAAGATCAGTTGAAGAAAAAAAGTGTTGCACACTCTGGCTCCATATGCAGTTTATTTAAATCAACGTTTCGGCTACATGGCCTTCTTCGAGATTTGCACTGCTCACAGACAAAGAAAGGCTATATAGGTCAGTTGGACCATGCCCTGATATTGATTAGCCAATCATATTTCCCCACTTGGGTGGAGTAACAAGAGACAATTAAAACTTTTTTCAAACAGTGAAAAGAGAAAACATCAATTTCAAGCCAATCAAAGATATCATAAGATAAAGGAACATTAATATCCACATTGCTTTATCAAAATTACCTATAGACATGTAGATCAAGTTTAACATCAGTTCTAAATGAACATCATAAAGAACTTAAACTAGATATCTAAAAATCTAAAACACAGGGGGGATTACTTCAGAGAAAACATCTTAGGTCATAATCAATATTTAATCCATGAGGTGACAGGGTTTTCAGATGGTGGATCCAATAGTGTTCTCTTCTAGAAAGCAAAACATCCAAGTTTCCCCCTCTAGGGGGGGGAGATAGGCTACCTCTTCAATGCCGATATATCTTAGGGAGGAAATTGGATGATTAAACTCAACAAAATGAGCTGCTACTGGATAATTCAGGTTCTTAAATCTTATAGTACTTCTATGTTCAGCAATACGAGTTTTCAGCGCTCTGCTAGTCTGCCTCACTGCTTGCTTTTACCGAAACGTGGTTGAAGCGGGTGGACAGCAATAACAGCCTGCACATAGACGGCTTTGGGTCTCCTGTCAGGCTGGACCGAGACACTGAACTCACAGGTAAACATCATGGTGGTGGTGTCTGCCTCTATATCAATCCACGCTGGTGTAAAACTGTCGTTGTCAGGGAAGAACTGTGCAACCCTGACATTGAACTCCTGGCTGTCTCCCTGCGTCCATTCTACCTCCCAAGAGAATTTCCACAATTGTTTTTTATTTTGGTTTATATCTACCCCAGAGCTAATGCATCCGCAGCCACAGAGCATATCAAAAACACGCTAAACAAATTGGAAACTATATCCCCAGACGCCCCTAAATTTATTATGGGCAATTTTAACCACTGCTCCGTTGACAAATCACTTAAAGGTTTTTACCAGTATGTCAACTGTACCACCCGGCTGGGGAAAACTCTGGACAGATGCTGTGGTTCAGTTCATAACGCCTACAGAGCGGCCTCCCTCCCCCCTCTCGGCAACGCTGACCACAACAGCATCTGGC